CAGGGAGAGGAGGGAAGACAGAAAAGGGATAGTTGGGTACGGGGAACTAGGTGTTCTAGGAAGAGGAAGGGCTAGAGGGTAGCCTGCTCTGAAGGAGAGAATCAAGGAAGGTGTGACAGATTCTCTTGTCTGCAAGAGGTTGACATGGTCTCCATTTTACCTTGGAAGAAACTGACCCTCAGTGACAGGAATGGAACTTGAAGCTTTCATACATAAGATAAGACACAGATCGTTTTAAGGCTCAAATAATTTGGTACCAGAACTTTACATTTAAGAAACATATTGAACCAAAGGAAACAAGACTGGAATGATTGACATCATTTTAGCCTAGTGGCTGTCCTGGAAGTTTGTGCAGCTCTGTGAGAGCGTAAGAACCTTCAGGGAGAGGAATCAGCCGTGACAGCAAGTCAGACTGCACCTTCCGGGCATCCTCCCCAGCTTTCACTAAGGACAGAAGCCACAGGAGCTGAGTGGCAGAGCTAACTGACACCTTTCCCTAAGTTGAGGGTTCCCTGGTCCCCTTTGATGTAGTTGATGGGACTTGTCATCAAAGAACTTGAGGGCTGAGGGACCTCCTCCTATATCATGACTGAAGACTGAACATCCTGAGTTGATTGAGAATTTATGGGAAACAGCATGATGTCGTGGGAAGAACCCTGGCTCTTAAGATCCAGGACTTCCCAGCTGTGTGACAAAGGCAAAGTTACCTTGAACTGTCCTCCATTTCTCACCTGTAAAATGGAGATACTAATGCCTACCTTGCAGGATTTTCATGAAGAAATGACCAATGCAAATCTGTAGATTTGGTGCTAGGCATATGGGGGTACCCAAGAAGTCTTTACAGTTAGCATTTAGTCTTCATTGCTTGCCTACTTTTCCTAACCCTGTTTGCTGTGGCACCAAAGAGGAGTGGATGAGAGATGTGAGTGAACCTAATGGAGTCCAACAGTGGAGAAGTCACACAGAGCATTAGTTTTTCAAGCAGAGTCAGAAGTGTTATTTTTATTTTTTTAAGAGAGAGAGAGAATTTTAATATTTATTTTTTAGTTTTTGGCGGACACAACATCCCTGTTTGTATGTGGCACTGAGGATCCAGCCCGGGCCGCACGCATGCCAGGCGAGCGCGCTACCGCTTGAGCCACATCCCCAGCACAGAAGTGTTACTTTTATGCAGGATACTATTTTATGACCCTACTCTGTGCCTTTAAACACACACACACACACACACACACACACACACACACACACACACCACCGAAGAAGTCCGTGGGTATCCTAGGCACCTGCTGTCACATACCCAACAAAACCTCTAGGATCCCATAACACTGCAACTTTGGTTTATGTAAAGTCAGTGCACACGTGCAACTATTTCTGTCTAAGTCCATTATACAAGGGTCTTCTGGAGGGGAAGACCACACCTTCCTAGACCTTCGAGGCCCTTCTCTTCTGTGTCATTTTTCATCTATTCCAATTCTACAGCAGTCTGTCCCTGTTCCAACCTTTGAGTGCATTTCAGGGAATGCAGTGGGGTAGATGCTCTGGCAGGACCGATCCTGGGTACCCTCATCTCCCAGCTCTGGCAGGGCTGCCTTGTTCATCCTTCACCCAGCACCAGGGTTGGAAATTCCATGAGTCTTCAGCCCGTTCCTATGATGTAATAACCAGAAATGCCTTCCTTAATTAAAAAAAAAAAAGGAAGGAAGATTTCTGTTTTCTTGTGCTAGTCTTTTTAGGTATTAGAGTGATCTGAGGTTATCTCTGGGCATCTTTAAGGGGGCTGAATGAAAACAGAAGGGCAGGAACGATGCAAGGGGTACCATAGTTACAGACTTGCCATGGTTCAGTTTACAATTTTTCAACCTTACAATGGTACAAAAGCAACACACATAGAGCTGTTCTCTTTTTTCCCTTTCAGTAGAGTTTTATTATATAATTAGCCTTCCCAGGCTTTTTGACACATGCAAGCTTTAAATTTTTAGATAATCAATATTTTGATCTTTTCCTTTGTGACTTTTATCTCACAGAAGTATTTCTTTATTAGCTTAGAAAATCTTTCCCCATCCATTTGTCAGAGAAAATATTAAATGTTTATCTTTTGTTTTTTTTTTTAATTTAACTTTTTTATTCATTTTGAATTGATTGTAGCATTTGGTATGAAGTGAAGACTTATTCCCACCCCACCACCACCCCAGTTCAGGCAATTTCCCCAAGGCCCTGGAAGATGATGGCAGGAAAGGGTAGGCATTGATAGGTCGCTGCAGATGTCCCCTCACCATGCCCCAAGGAGTTGTCATCATTCATCCCAACCTGGCTCATGACTCAGAAAGCAGACACGACCACCACCCTTTTTTCTCATGGACATTTGGTCATGAAATTGGCAAGCAGCATAAACTCACATGTTCCCTAGTATACATTGTCATGCTATTTTGATCCACCGGGAACTTTGTGAAATCATGGTTAAAATTTTGCTTTAAAGAATTGGCTACTCTATGTGGACATGTGATCATTTCTGTTTTTCTTTTTGGGCGTGGGATACTGGGGCCTCATGCATGCTCAGCCCTCTCCACCAGGCTACACAGCCCCTCTTATTTTGAGATAGGGTATTGCCCAGTTGGCCTTTTGCCTCAGCCTCCTGTAGCTGGGATTACAAGTGTATACCACCACATATGACCATTTTTTTTCTTTTTCTTATTCTTTCTTTCTTTCTTTCTTTCTTT